TCCCGCTCACAAACGCCACAAATGTGGGGGGTCGGGCCTTCACCTGAGTCAAGTACTTCGCCTTTGGTTGGGCTGACTCATCTTTCCAAGAATGCCTACTCATAACCTAACCCATTTCACCAGAATATTAAATTCAAATAAACAAATGTTCTAAACTTAATTTGTTAGCCACGGGCCAAACCTTGCGAAGCCAGCGGTTGAGACGAGCTGTCGACAGCCTGCAGCACCATTTCTCGTATGTATCGATGACTTGGCGCATCATAGACAACCGGCCTTTACCTTCTATTGCAGAAACAAATACCACGGGTATACCCGTCACCTGCAGATTACATGAAACTGTTGTCAAATAATGTATCTTCTTTCTTTCGAGCGATTTCATTCGAGCAGGCTGTCAATTTTTTCACCAAGGTCAAATACTATGGAAGTATTTATAACATGACAATTTTAGAATTTAACATTTCATTGCAGAGCCAGAATCAGAATGACGATACACCAAATACTCCCTTCGTCCCACAAAGATACACACGTCTAAATTTTACACATGGTTTACCAAAAGAGTACTTACCCTTGTAGGGAAAGTAACATTAGGACTTTTTCCTAATCTAACCATTTTGTTAATACTGATTGCATTTTTGTGATTCTAGTTTGTTGATAGCCGTGCAAATTAAACAAGAGATTAAATGAAATTAATATTTTTACTCAATCTGTCAATTTAAAATAAACCTATATTTTTACACACACACATACATGTATATATAATCTACGAAATGTAACATTCTACTGTTAGATGTCAGCAATCTTCGCATCAGACAGTATGTTTGAAACAAAAAACAGCAAAATATTATAAGTTAGATATTTGTGGTGTGCTCTAAAGTGACGAACCTGCGGTATTACAGTCTGAATTTCTTCAGGTACGGCATTGATGACACTTTGGTACATTTTTGCATTGTTTTTCCCTCTCAAAAGATCCATCTTGTTAACCACAACCACCAAACCTCGCCCTTCCTCGACAGCCCGCCTGGCAATCACTACTTCAGCATGATTCACGCTACGTCTACCTTTGCAATCTATATTTTTATAAACAAAAGGCACATATAGTATAAGTGACAAGTTGAAGAAGACGCAAAGAAAGATTTACCAGAAGACTTGTTCTGAAATGTACAAGAGATCAAAAGAAAGGCACAATTATTGTATAATCTAAACAGAACAGACCTCTTCAGCATGAAGAACCAAAGCAACTATGTGAGCCCTCATGAGATGCTTTCTCGTCTGCGCAATGCTCAACGATGATGGACCCTTGTCCTGCTTTGTCCTCTCCAACCAACCTGCAGTGTCCACAGGTACCCAAGAAGAAGAATAAAA